CTGGGTGATTTTTGTTGCACAACGTAACAGTCAGTTAATTAGTGTTTTGAAGCGTTCCCTCTTGTTTACACGAGCAGGAGATTATAGTCGTCCCTGCCTCGACAAAAATTCGAAGCAGCATTTGTCGAAGATAATCGCAACGAAGAAACAGAGAAGTTTGAGATGGTAGAATCACAACTTCACCAACATTCTGAGGTAGTTGTTATTGTTTTTCGTGTGCTAAACCAAGTAGAATACAGATCAATGCTCTGCAAACCTCTTTTGAATTCCCAACGTACATTCTCCCGTCCAGCTAACCAGTTCTTATACTCGTTCTTCCGCGTTCCTCCTTTTCCTCTCCAAAAAGCGAAAATGGAAGCGAAATCACAATCCTGTTCATGCTTTTTGATTTTATCTTCCTTGGATGGATCTCTCGTGATTTTGTGTTTGCATACAGATACATACAGTTTTTGAATATACAGTTACATATGCGGAACTGTGGTGACATTGTGCATGGAACACTTTTCTGCAAAGACTCAAAGTAACACCCCTTCAATTTCCTGATCCAAGGCATTCTCATTCACATGTAAAGGCACGCCCATTTTGACTATTTTGTTGCCGAAGTTTAGGATGTAGCGATTGTCATTCGCTTGCAATTTACTTCTTTCCGGGTACTGAGTGACTTTCTCTCGTTGCTCTTATAGGCAGGAACGACAAGTTGAACCTATTTCATGCAATCTCAAAGAGGACATGGATTGTAGTCCAAAGGCTAATTGAATCAATGTAGGAACTAGATTATAGTCTAGGTCCTATACGACGATTGAATTACGGAGTGAAATGATCATTCTTCTTCACTGGAAGATGACTATTGTATAAGCATGCGGACAAGTCCAGGAAGCAAAATGTCTCGCTTTAATCCATGACTGCTCGGCTCTCATTAAAAATCCTGTGTTCCTCTTGACCCCACAATTTGTAGGTGAAGAACGATTTTCTCGATATCTTCGCGACGAACAACATACATAAGTGATGGCGACAGCTGCTTTGTGAGAACATTCATTTCCTAGAATTCTTAGAATGACGAGGGGGTCAGCCTTCGTGTACTCAAAGACGTTGCCAGTCATCGCCACCGCTCTGACCGACAGCGATCACTATGATCGCCAGCGATAGCTACACAAACACACACGCTACGTAAATAGATCAATGAGCAGATATTAGACATTAATTAACGTGATTTTAGGGGAATGTTCGTATTATTTCCACCCCATCGACATCGGGTGTTATTATTATGATATGAATACTTGCTACGAAATTCATCAGTTTATTGAGTGGTTTCTGTTCTCCACCATTCTATCTTCGTCTATTTTTATCGATATTCTTATCGGCATCTTCCTCTTTAGTCATCACAAGGTAAAGTTCAACTGACCGTCGGCACTTTTCTCCTGTGCCTCATCTTCCATGCGAAGGGTGGAAGTTTGTGCCTCTTAGTATTTACAGACAATGAATTCGGAACCCTGACTTTGTAGGCTTCTATCTACTGAAAGATAGCAGGAGTTGATAATCATTCTTTTCTGAGCGCTTTTGCAATCATCCTTCCGGTGTTTCCACGTGTCATGACGCATATGAATATGCAAGTGTACCGTTTCAGAAACGAGGAACTGACTCTTCCAAGGACATTCGCGACTATGGATTTGTGATACAGGTTGGGAACTTGCTATCTTTACTCCTTTTTAGTTTTCTTTTCAAACTTGTTGCATATGTTTAGACGTTCGTCCTTGCTCTGACAAATGGAGTGTTTACACTATATTTTTATTTAGTTGGTTATTACACTCTCGAGATACCTATGCTCGATCATCTTCCAAAACTCAATGATCTCATCCTCTCCTTCGTTTACCTGTAAGTGAACAAAGGCACCACCAAGCATATTTACTATAATCTCATAACATAACTGTACTTGTAATGTGGAGAGGAATTCCTCTTGTAATTGTCCCAACTACCTATGCTACTGTTATGCTCTTCTTAAGAAGTTTCCTCAACATCTAATGGTAACTACTGCTACCGATCCATCTCTTTTGTGACGCAATAGTCTTGCTTCGCTTAAGAACTAGTTCCAGTTGCAATTCACTTCGAATTTGCAGTCAGAGATGACCCTACCTATAAATGACCCTTGCGTTGTCATACCATTGCAATAAGAGTTGGCTAATATAATAAGGAAAATTACAGAGCACGAAAAGAGGCAATTCTACTTTTGTCTGGAAAAAATATGAATAGTATGTCTAGTAGACTTTGGAAATTTTT